AGTGACGACAAGTGTCGTCGCGGCACTCACTGGACACGAACGCGAATCCAAACATTCGTCGACGAATTGATTGTGGACGAGCGTGCATGCGTCCGAGGGAACCAGTGCTTGCGTCCAGTGCTTGAGCTGATGCCGGCTGACCTGCTTTGGGTACCGCAGATGAACCACAGAAGCGGAAAGCTTTCAAACGGAGTATATAGGGTACGAAATATTCCATTCCATTTTTACATTCGAGTACCGAAAAGCAGGCTTTTGACTATACACCCTCTTCCTTTTGACCTAGTAAACGATATGCGAATTGTAAAATCTCAGTCGAAAATCACTTATCCCAGCCCAAACTTCATTTGTCTTCCCTTTCATAATCTGATTTTTTTTTTTAATTCAGGAATAAAAAAAGTGGTTTTGATAGAATTTGTTAGTACGAGGTGCTTCCTTGTTTTTCATCCGTTAATAACCTTACATAAGTCTTGAGCCCAGCACTCCTGACCTTTCCCGTCTCTTTCCAAGGGTAATTAATATAGGAGGACGTGATTTATAGTCATTAGCAGTTCAAGGAACGGCGGTCGTGGTTTCTGATGTCCAAGCTTCTCGCTTCCCGATTCGTTGTTCGACGTTCGCACGCCGCAATCTCGTTGGCTGCCGAGCCATAATAAAATACTGGAGACCCATCATACCCTGCGTTCATTAAGCTCTCAGACTCTCAGGGACTATACAGATCCTCTACAAGAAACCCCCGAGCCCTAAACAAAACTATTTTCACGCTCCGCGTGTCTCGTCTTGTTGCCCGAAACTTACGTACAGTGAAACACAATAAGGAAGCTTATGTTTTCACGTACACGGAACTTAGCATTCATTGCCACTTTTACTCGCCGCAGAGGGCTCTTAAGTCAGCATGGGGAGCGCTAAAAAAAAGAAAAGGGGGTTTGGGGTTGTGGAAAACGGAAAAGAAAAGACACAAAGAGGAAGTAAAGCAAATCTAAGGTTCCCGCTAAATTAACCAGGCAGGCACTAGCTGAGAGGCGCTCGGAAGTGTGTAAAGGCCGTTAACAAGGCTGCCTTCCTCACGCGTGCCCAGCCCTCCCGTAGTTCCCCACACGCGCATGGTGTCGCCATCAGCTTTCCGGCACGGCTGCGGCAAAGCCTGGTTTCCGGGAACGCCGAAGTGTAACTTGGCAGCAATCCCGTCCCGAGCACCTCGTCGCCGCCCAAATCGGCCGCAGCGGTGACATCGTCCCGTCGTGCGCTCGTCGCGTCCCGCGGCCGCCGCAACGGGGGCCGGCCAGGTCAGCGGCACTGGCTGGCTGCTGCCTCGTCAGCGAACAACTGGGCCGAAATTGCGTCCTAATTTATTCATTTCCTCTCTCGCGTTCACAGATGGTCGAGCTGTAGCATCATTTTCTTTAATCACTTTTACTCCGCGTGCCGACAGGACTGTGTAATGAAAGTGCGAGCGAAGAAAAGAAAAAAGAAAGCAGAAAATAATCCCGGAATATCCATTTTTAATTTGAATTTCATTAAGTGCGCGCCTCGAGGAAATAGGAAAAGAGAGGGAGAAGGAGTGAGAGGAAGAGGCGGGTGTTCGGATTTCTAGATTTGGCGCGAAACGCGCTCCCCGTTGGTTGTCTCCCCTTGCCATCGCCTCCTCCGTCCTGTTCTTGCCCCACGCCGATATTTCTACGTGTTATTTATTCTTTTTTTTCCAACTTAATGCGTATTTAGATTACCGGCGGGAGGCCTCGTGAATTTGTGGTTATGAGGCGCCGCGTGCGATTGCTGTTGCGACCCTTTTCGCCCTGATTGAATCTGAGAGGGAAACACTGCTATATCCTGCTCATGCAGGGTTCGCGGTGTTGCGTCGAGATTTTTTCCCTCTTTTTCTTACTATCACTTTTGCTGCTTCTTTTTAAACATTTTTCCTGGTACACGAAATGGGCGAATTGGTTTTCTTAAAACATAATAATAAAAACACTATTTTCATTTCCGGTACGTTTGAGATCCGTCCGCAATTCACTTCTTTTTCTCCCTCCAATTTTTTCTTCTTCTTTTTTTTTTTCGAATTTAAATTTGGGTTTCAAATCGCTCCGTTAATGCCAAGGACCGCATAACTCCACATATGTTTTGGTCGTCTGTTCATGGAACTCTCTGGACAAACCTCTTCATCTAGAGCTTTCCCTTCGAGTTTCTTTTTCAATAATCAGTGGTAATTGCTAAATTAAAATAACGAGGAAGTTTGCGGTCGGCAGTCAGGAATCACCTTTTTGCAGAATGCAGAGTATATCAAGTGAACCTTTTATTATTATCTCTCTTTTTTATATATATATATATATAGTGCGTCACAACAAAAGAAGGTCTTTGGCGGCCCGTGCAATTTTTCGCGGGATGCATTTTTTTTTCTCGCCGGTTGGTAATGCTTAAGAGTAAGTTGGAAAGTTTTACTTTAAAGTTTTTAATTAAGGTATTCGCAACGGCAGACGGCCTCTGCTGGCAGCAATAAACAAAATTCTTTTTCCAACTCAGTTACTCTTTCCAAGTATTGCACTGGCAAATATGTTCATATTTGTCGCCAGTTCCCGACGCCGAAGCTCACGGAGTTCCTAACCCTCCTTACTTGGCCACAGAAGGAGCAGACTGATGTTCACCTATCTGAACTTGTTTATTAGTAGTGAACTTTGTGCTAAGACTAACAAAACACAAACCCAGTTGGACTAAATAAAAACAATGGACTTCTTCCAAAACCGACGCGCCCCATCGCGGCGAAATACCACGCAGTGCGCTCTGGGAACTAGTTGGCCACTCAGTTTTGGTTTCGATTGAGCAGCTTCATTTCATGCTATCACGCCGCGACCTAACGCGCTACTGGCGTTTTCGATTACCTGACTTTTTACGAACGCACAGTACTGTCATTCTCGAGCGATACAAAACGAAGACCGGGGCACTTTCCTTGGTTCCCGAAACACCGAATATTATGAATGCGTATGCAAACATAGTAAGACGTGGCTTGGTCACCTAACCCCACGAGTGCATCTTTGAGTTCAATTTCAATAATCTCGTCTAGTACCAGTGAACTACAGCTGAAATTTGGTCACCTTGAGCCTTACACGTATTTTGTTTGCCAAACGTCCGCTTCTTGTTACTTTATCGGGCGAAAAGCAAACCGTATCCTCACAGGAGTATCAAAGTTGAACCCAGCGTTGACGCATGAACTTTTAAGGAACCGCAATAAATTCGACCTCACTACTGCACAAAAGTTACTATGATGTATTCCTCGTGTCATCATATATCTCCCACTCAAATTTTATGCTGATAGAAGATTAAATTTTCGCAAACGCTGAGATCGGCTAGCTGCGACGGAGGTCCTAACAAGCGTCCCCTACTCCTCGCTAAGCCTTTTTGGACGAGCTTTTACTGACGCCCAAGATCTGTGCATGGACGGTGTGTGTGTCTGAAATTATCTCGGCATACTCAGGCAGGAAGAAAGCAAACACATAACAAATATTATGGTCATTAGCGACCGTCAAATGCGCTTTGAATAATTTCGTTCGTTTGGCGCACCGCATAGGGGTTCACACTCGTCCGGCGCACTTCCGGCGAACGGTGCGGCATTCTTTACACAAGTGCTCGACTTTTGCTTTCTTAAAACGGTTTGTATTTGCGAATGTGCCTATATGATTGCAGGATAGCTTTATGCGCATACGCGATGTTGAATATCAGTGGAATGCAAGCGGGTGGGGACTTGACTTCGTGCAGTGCTGCCGGTCAGTACAGATAACAGATAAGAACTCTGTTAAAATTTAGCTTTTCGATGGCGCCTCCGAGTTTTACCTCGCGCACTCAGGCGTATTAAGAAGAACAGTAATTGCAAAAAGTAATATTTCGTCTATAGACGCACGAAACAAACAAACTTCCTGATCAACAACACTAAAGTAAAGGCGCGAGCTCGATGTATGCATACTTAATGGTTGCTACAGCTTGTTGATTCGTACACAAGCATGATCGCCGAGCTTCGCAGCGTCGAGATTCCCAGCACTGGCTCGTCCACATTCCTTGAAACGCTGACAGAAAGGCTCAAGTACAAAAATACAACAAGCATGTGTTAAGACAAGTTATACGTCTCGGGCTTGTGCTAAAGCTTCAATGTCTTGCCATTTGGGTTAGTTAGGGGCCACAAATGACGATCTCGGGACCAGAAAACACGAGATAACGGCCGTTAAATAGTTCACGCTCTTTGTTTAATCTCTTGTCGACGGGTCGATCGAAACCGAAACCATGCCACTCTGCTCCCTGGCCAACTAGTTCCCAGGGTGCAACGCGCGCCGTGTTGCATGCAGGGCTTCATGGAAGTAGTCTATTAGCTTCGTTTCAACGGCAGACGAATCTTTACTTGAATGTTGAATGTAGAATTCCAAGTAGTGTCAACCACTGTAGCCCGCTTTAACGAATGCAGTAAAACCGAAAGAAGTTTACTGTGCTGAGCTCTTCCAATTTTGTTTATTTACAAAATATTTGTTTAGTTATTACTTTATTTGCTTCGTATTGTTATGATGACACCTCCCCTGCCCTAAAGCGCACTATGAATATATTTTTCTTTTAATAATCATGTAATTTCATGGCTAGACTATAAGAAGGTCAGCGTCAATTTTCCGAGTACATTATGCGCCAAAAAATAACGTAAAAAGTTAGTCAAAACTTTTTAGTGAATTAGGGAACTAATGAAAAGATTTCGCCTTTTTTCGAGTGGCCCGCGTGGTCCCAACTTCGCCCAAAGTTAAAAAGCAACATAACGCAAGTTCCCCTTTCTTAAATTCTGGTCCCTCTGAAAAACAAAAACAAAAAAACACTGTCTATAGCGTCATACTTGTAATTGCCTCTCTCTTTGACATTTCTGTCAGTCTTCACATTAGCTTGATTAAACCAATAAATAATCAAATATTAGTGGCTCATCAATCAATCTAAAATTGTTAATTGGTGCACAGCCCTATCTGACACTTATTTAATGCCCCATGTATTTCGGTGGGAACGTAACCGATTAAGTCGCTGTCCATTCCACCGACAAAACAAAACTAAACTTGCCTGTAAAAAAAAAAAAAAACATGTTGCCTTTTCTGATTCTGTTGACCGGGGATATCGCTGTTCTCTCGTTGCAGACGAGCCCACATCGCTGGCTGTGTACATGGGCAGCCAGATTGACCTACCGTGCAAGTCGCTGCTTCCCAACGACTTGCCGCAGCGCATCAACTGGTTCAAGGACGACTCGGCGCTGCCGGTCTACAGCGTCACGTACGCCACGAACCAGAGTCAGCACCGCACCAACATCATGCAAGGCCGACACGCGGCACGCTCGGACTGGACCCAACGGGCCTACTTCAGTGTTCTCGGGACACCGGCCACGCTCAAGGTGAACGAGCTGGCCTCCAAGGACTCGGGCACCTACATCTGCCAGGTGGTCATCAGCAGGGGCACACAGCGCAACGCCACGGTGCACCTCGTGGTCGTCGGTAAGATTCCCGAATTACACCGAGTGACGCGATGGCGCGTGTTGCGAGATTGGCGGTTGCTTACCCTCCGCTAGCTGGCTGGCCGATGTGCCCGCTTGTCTGGCGAAGGATAGGGATCCGCACAGCGGGGAGCTGCTACTTGTTTGAGTGTCGGAGTTGTGCAATTCTACTGAAGATCATTCCCCCTGGTTTTCTCGCGCCAATGGCGAGATTCGGCCGTTACTTCTACGTTCCTCTTAAAAGCGGAACGCTACCCCTTGCTTCGCGCTTGAAAAGGTTGAAAAGGGCTCGCCCTTCTCGGTTGCCTAGTTAGGAAGAGAAAGCTTCCGAGGCTATGAAAAACAGTAGACAAACAAAACAGTCTGGTGAAGGCGAGCGGGTTGAACATGAATACATAGAATTGAAAGAATAAAACACAGAGGGACAAGCACAGGACAACCACTTTCTTTCATTTAGCAACGACGTTTTTTTTTTCAAAAAACAAAACAGGGATACGTATTTTGCATTGAAATTGTTCAATATTATTAATGTTTTTTTTTTGTTTCTTTGTTTTTGCGTTGCTTGAAATTACATCATGAGTCAAAAATTAGTAATAATGTTAATCTTTGCTTAACGTACCCACACCAAGGTTCAATCTCATGGAGAACACTTAAACTAAACAACTCCTTTTGGCATTTTAGACAAAACCCTGAGAATGGGGGGAAAAAGGACAACACAGCATCCGTCAGATTATCAGGTGGGACGACTGCAGAGGTAAACTCTGTGGAACACTCTAAGAAATGCGTGCGCGTCTACTTACCCGCAAAGCACTCGAAGAGCCAATCTCTGCGGTCTGCGAAATCAGCTGAGCGAATGATGAGGCGGAACATCCGTTTAGACCTCAAAATGAAGTCTGCGCTGTGGCATTGCGCAGTGCAAGCATGAAGCTTTGCATTGCGCAATGCCACAGCGCAGACTTCATTTTCAGGTCTAAACAGATGTTCCGTCTCATCATTCGCTCAGCTGATTTCGTAGATCGCAGGGATTGACTCGTTGAGTGTTTTGCGGGTAAGTACACGCGCAGGCATTTCTCAGGGTGAAGGTTTACGTTTCTGCAGTTGTCAGATTCACTCAGTATATTTTGTTCCTCCGGTGTTATATTCTTACGAACCTCTCCCTGGCATCGTTCATTAAAAAAAAAAACGATAAAATTTTTTCTTTTTTTAAACAGGACGATGTTAACAGTAGCAATGCTTAAGAATTAAAAGTTCAGGCTGGGTTTAAAAGTTAGATTAAATATATGGACAAAATACTGGCTTAAACGCCTCAAATAACAAAAAAAAAAAACTAAAACAACAAAGTAGCGCTTTTTGTAGCACGGTGCTACGCTCATTTTTTAGTGCACGCACACGCGAGTCTTAAACACTTCAGAGAGCTGAAGTTAACTAATTGCCGCAGCGCAGCGTTTGGGATAAGCCAAAGGCGGGGGGGGGGGGGGGGGGGGGAGGGAGGGAGGGAGGGAGGGAGGGGAGGAGAGGGGAGGGGGGGGGGGCGTAAGAAGGGACAAAACAGAAAATGCTAGCCACGAAAGAAAGCCCCGCGCTTTGACCACTGTCAATAGTACATACAATGGTGTAATTTCAAGGAGGAAAGCTAGCGTTTTCTTTCAATCTCTCCTTCGCAAAACTTTGTGAAAACTTTTCGTTCCAGATAAAATACGTGGGAGTCACAGTATCCTCTAGTGACGGTATTTGAATGCGGCTCATAAACTGAACTCGAGCATTGCGTGAGCACTCGATTTGGCCTCGCGATAATCGATAGCTCGAGAAGCATTCGGGTAGTGGCCCGTGTCCCATCGCTGCAACGACGACAACAGCCGTACCATAACAATGTCTGGAACTCAGCGCGGTACCTGTGCCTTGCCAACCCCAGCGCGTGGCTGTAATCAACATTGGCGGCATATAATCGGCTCCAGATCACGTGGCCGTTTGTTCTGACAGCAAGTTGAGGGGGTAAACTCTGCTCGTTTTTTTTTTTTTTTTTAATTTTTTCTGGGCTTTCTATTGCGTGTGGTGCAAAGCGAACGCGTGTGCCATAGGTAGGGTTCTGTGTTTTCAGTGTTTATTTTTCGTCAAATTTGAAGGGTGTATTTCGGAGTTTATTTTTTGCCAAAGATTCAGAGTTTATATTTGTTTGTTTCCCAATTCTCCGAAATTCGGACTTTAATTTCGCAGTGTTTCCTATTAAAAATAATTAATAACCGGATGTAAACCTATGCCGGATAAAAAATCTTGTCTTCAATTGAATTTGTCTCCAATTGAACTTAGCGTTGGTGCCATTGCCATTGGCAATAATAATTTTTCCCACCACAAAAGTCGTACACAAGTGCTGCTTCAATGAATGTTGATATCTTAAAATCAATAAACTCCCGGAGAAGCTCGTTAGGAAGCTCGTAGTCATCCCATCCGGAAGTTTCAATTGCCCCTCTTCTTTATTTTATACGATGTCTATGGTCCACAGCTTTCACTGTTACAAAACATGCCCTCTCCTTTCTTTAAATCACACATCGCATGGCCTCAACTGGAAAAGTGCTTTGGTCGTGAGCCGAATGTACAATGACTTGTTGACCTGAATCAACATTGAAGAGACAATCAGTAAGACCCATTTTGACAGCGGTCCTACATTTGAAAGATAATTATGGTGGCATTTTCCCCTTGACCATTGACTCTGTGCTCATCAAATTGTAAAAATAACTTTTTTTTTTTTGCGGGGGGGGGGGGGGGGGGAAGGGAGGGAGGGAGGGAGGCATTGGCACATAAACATTCGGGGTTTGTCGGATAAATACGATTTTACCAACATTTTACCGGCGGCTGTTTTTCGGAGTTTGTCGGATTTATCCGAAAACACAGAACCCTAGTCATAGGTCATTAACGTCAGGGATTCGTTCGAAGCGGTATTCGAGCAAAGTACAAAAATTGTTGGACCGCCCCTTTAATCTCCGCTCTGCAATGCGGATTCATTTTACTGATCATCGCAAAATTACTGCTATGCATCGCGAATGTTGCCGATAAAGTCTAGTCAATTAATTAATGCTCTATGCAGTTTCTTTTAACACAGTTTTTTGTTTTTTTTTTAAGTTCGAGCGTAATCTACCGTAAAATCCACAATTCAAATGCTGCTTCGCTATCTAGGTGGCACTTCTTTCTGGCGTGTGAACGCTTGTATATCTCCGAGAACCGACGAGATTAAATGAAAGGGGTTCGGTATTCCGCGAAGCTCCTTCAACTAATGGGCAACTCGTCTCCGCTGTAGTGCGTGGCCCATCGCAGCGTCCGTACCCCGCCACAGAATTACGCGCGGCGTTCGTACCCCGACATACAATTACGCTTATTGAATGTTCGTGGGGCCGGGACGCCCCGTCCGCCCGTTTCCTTCGCCCCGCCGAAGATATTTACCGAGGACAGTCGAGCAATCGCCCGGGTAGAGACGCCTGCGACCGGAAGTATTATTTTTTTTTTTTTAGAACAGCGCTTTATTTGTGTGCTTCTCCAAGAACGATACATGCTTCACGCACAAACACAAACGTCTTTAAATGAATCACAAAATTCATTTGTCGGAAGTCGTTCTTTTTTTTTTTTTTTCGTTTTTCCATGCGTGTGGGTGAGTGTGAGTGCCGCCAAATAATATCTGGATCATATGAACGATGTTTAAAAAAAATCTAGGTGTGGATTATCACTCTTTCTCTCTTTCTTTATCGATTTACCTTTTTCAACCTAGTTATTGTTTACCCTTTGTATCGTTTCACAGTGTAGCGAACGAGTAATAGGCGCTGGTTGAGGTCATTGTTTAATAAACGTAATTTTTTTTTCAGGTACGACAGACCGAACCATATGTTAAAACTTATATTTGCACGCAAACGTGAACTTCCGCCAGGCCACACTTCACTGGACGCCATATTTGAGGGCGATGTTTCGAGGGCATGCTCAGAACGAGTTTTTATTAATATTCTCATTAGCTGACTAACGTTGCCCTTTGGGCTAGTTGATATTTCATGGTTTAAACATTGAAAACAGCGCAAAGACACGGACTAGAACGAGAAGGTAGACGAACAGTGCTGTTGTTGTACAGTGTACACAGAATACGGGGTAGTGTTGGGACCGGAGCGGCTCGTGTGAGGCCTGTGGTGTAGATCGCGATAGGTGTCGACACCGGCGCATCGGCAGTAGGGTCAGTATGGTGATGTTCGTGCGCGTGCAGCGCGCACGCGGTGCACGCGCACGGACTGCAGCGGCTCATCCGGACTGCAGCGGCTTTTTGCTGCCCTGTCGACTGAAGCGCCGCGATTTTCGTCTCACACGCCGCCTCACAAGTTCCGATCGTCGAGTCGCGCCTGTCCAAACACTACCCCGTATTCTAGTAGAGTGCAGTTGCTGTTCGTCTACGTAGCGCTGTTGTTCGTCTACCTTCTTGTTCTTGTCCGTGTTTTGGGGGCTTTTTTTTTTAAGTTTTAAACCATTCTGCCAAGACCGACAATCTTGATGGGGCCGAATGCACGTTGTATAAGAACTGTAGGGGCTCGCCGTCAGAACGCGCTCAGCAGTTGCGCACACAGCTATGGCCGACGGTGAATACTCCTTATATTAAAGCTCGTCACCATTGATAATGTAGGCACTGGCTATCTATATTATTTGTTAACAAAACTTACGGAAAACTTTGACTCGGTCGTCGTCGCGTGGCGTATAGACATATTGCTAAATTACGTAAGCTTCAAGACTCTAAAAAAAGCCCGTGCGTCTACTTCGTCGCACAACACTTAGAGAGCCAATCACCGCAACTTACGGAGACAGCTCGACGAATGACGATTCCGAAACATATGATTGGACCTAAGAGCGCAATCTGAGTTGTGACATTAAGCAATGGAAAACGTCACGCTTGCATTGCTTAATGCAACAGCTCAGACTGTGTTTTTGGGTCTAAACATATGTTTCGGCATCGTCATTCGCTAAGCTGCCTCCGTGAGT